CAGCTTTCTTGCTGCACGGTCGACAACCTCGTTCGAAAGTAGACATTGGCAACTTTAGGATTCGTCCTAAAGTATCGGAGTCACCCAATGGGTTGCCTCATGTCCGTAATCAGGTTGCAGCGAAACAGAATAAGAGCAAAGGGTATTTTGACAAAAGGAAAGGTGTGCAGCCAACCCGCATAAAGGTCGGCGATTTGGTTAAAGTAAGACTCCATAGAAAAGGCTTTTTCAAGTATAGTAGGCCTCTTACAGTAAAGGCTCAGGTTGCGCCGTCCACTTTTCTCCTCAGTGACGGAAAAGTGTGGAATGCATCCAAGTTAACAGTAATTCTTAGGGATTCTTTCCAGAATGCCGCCCTTTCTACTACACCCAAAGAACTTATTTACTCTTATTCCAGTTTAGATCTTTGTGGCAGTCAGTCCCCTGGTGCACCTACGTTGCAGGGCTCCACCCCCAGTTTTCAGCCAGACTCTGATTCGTCAGAGATCTCTTATAGTGAAGGATCTGAATCAGTTGTTCCCCAAGGAACGTTGGGAAGTCAGCAGGACCCGATGCGGGTACCTTTTTCAAGAAATCCACTAAATCTCAACCCTGGGGAGGGGGAAAGTGAAGGGGCTACAAGGTTTTCAAAGACGACCGAACCTGGTCGCACTTCAACAAGTTTTACTGAGACTTCTATGCGTCCGTGCCGTCAGACAAAACTACCTGAATGGCTCAAAGATTTTGTCACTTAAGGTCAAAAGAGTTCTTCCTATAATGGCGTGGCTAGAGGGCCCAGCCACGACATCGCGGGGGACTTTCAGTTCTGTGTTTTTTTTTTTTGCAGTGTATTTCGTTTCACAAGATGTGTGACGTATCTGTTGTATTAGGCCACTTGTGCCTGTGCGCGAACTGTTCTTCTCCCCGCCGCTCGTGTGGCGTGAACATTCCTTAGTGGAGATCCTGGGACTTTCTCTAGTGTTACCCTGTGATAATCCTCATTTTGTCGACGGGGGGATGATGTTGTGTCGTGGCACCACCTGTGAGTGGCGTGCGCACTGAGTGCGCCCTAGTGTGTACACTGTCAACAGATGTCGTCTGTAACGGCACACACGTGATTGCATGCAGCCGATCACGTGTGTCCGCGTGTCCGTTGTGTGTCGTTGAATAAACGGCCGCTGGCCAGCTCAGTCTTTGTTGGGTTCCCGCGGGCTCCGGTCAACTCACTTCTACTGCGCGTGTCGGGGGCGCGCACTGGTGGATACAGGAGCGTCTGGGGAGGGGAAAAGTATTGGGGGCGCGTGCCGGCGCACTTTGCGTCTCGCGTTCAGTCGTTGGGCCCTCGCCGTCGGACGCCACTCCCCGACACAACAAAATGGGGCCCTCGCCGTCGGACGCCACTCGCCGACACAACAGGAGTCCACGACAAGCTAAGCCTAGCCCAGTGCAGCTGAAGATGACACATAATACCGGGACACAGGCAATGAAGACAAACGGCACATTAAGCAGAAACTACCGACAATGACCGTAGGAGCTTGAGCAGGGCATCAAAGACAGACTTTACGAACCGTTGACACCGCAAGGGCAAGGAGTCGACGAGACAACGAAAATAAGCCCATGTGAACTATAAAAATGTTCACTTGTTGAGACGAATATTGGATTTGGAGTAGTGGCTAAGGCTTCGAACAGATTTAGACTGGTTTGCAGTCGGTTTTGTTTGTGCTGTATTGGGGTAACTTTGTGTGTCTGCTGGTGTTCGTTTTCTTTTTTTATTTTTTGCATTTTATCTTTTGGGTAATAAAGTGTGTTTGTTTACCATGCCCGTCTCCCGTCTCTCTCAATTCCATCTGCTGCAAGCACTTGATCCCGAGATATACTCATGACACTTTCATGCGCTTACCTTTTCTTGGAATCCAGTCTGTGATCCTCGGGTATCTTGCCTCAGCTTTACGAGCTCTGCCCGAGACCAGTGCTTCTTCTTATTCTTGATTCCGACTATGATGTCCTCAACACCCGTTTGTTCTCTGACCCACTCTGCTCTCTTCTTGTCCCTTAGGATTACACCTATTAATTTATTTTCCATCGCTCACTGTGTTGTCCTCAATTTAAGCTGAACCCTCTTTGTAAGTCTCCAGGTTCCTGCTCCATAGCAAAGTGCCGGCAAGATGCAGCTGTTATATACCTTCCTCTTGAGGGATAGTGGCAATCTACCAGTCATGATTTGAGAGTGCTTGCCAAATGTGCTCCACCCCATTCTTATTCTTCCAGTTACTTCAATCTCGTGGTTCGGCTCTCTGGTTGCTACCTGTCCTAAGTAGACTCACTCTTTTCTAGTGCACTGATACTTATCTGGAAGTGTTGTTCCCTTCTGAGGTTGTGCGCAGTGGCTGGTATTTTATTTTCTACCCCTAAAAGCTTCTGTAAAGGTCTTAAAAACTATGTTTCACTAATGCATACAGATGAAGCTGAGAACGTGAATTGGGGACATTGACAGCATGCGATTACCCCGTCCCAGTGCTGTGATCCCAACAGTTCCCCAACACAGTTGATTGTGTTGCATGTCATATAAAAACAGTCTGCTGCCGCTCTGTGTTGCACATTGACGCGTTCTTTATCACGATGCTTTCCCTAATAAAGCCGGAAATGTAAGGGGAGTAGCAATGAAAATGCTGCCGTGCGCAGTTCAGTGTCACACACATTTCAGTGTCTCCATGGTCGTGATTGTAGAAATATGTAACGACTATTGTAGACGCCCCATTTACTCTGTCAATCTGTTTGCAGAAAGGTGCAGAAACCGCAACATTCACATTTTCATCCAGCACTTCTATCTCAATTGTCATTTGAGTCTTGGTTTCAGAGCTGAAGCTTGTTATCGCAAATATAATTACAAGTTGTGATATCACAAATTACATGGAGTATAATTAGTTCCAGGCATATCTTTAAATAAAGTAGTGTAAGCTATGTTTATTCATCACCGTAATTCATCCTTTTATGCACCTACGTGGACCAAGATGATGAACTCGCATGCATCTAGTCAGTTATAAGCACTGGTGCTTAATCATTTGTGCCAATGAAACCATATTTGTGTTAAATACAAGGTCAAATGCAAAAGCATATTAGGTGACGTGGAATCAGCCTTGGTCTTTCTGTAAAAATTTTTCTGCACTTTTTTTCAACTGCTGTGTTCATAATAACTCACCAGTAAACGCACATCAGTGCCAGTTATTTAAGAAACATGTCTTTGTCACACCAAGAAAAATGCTCATGGAAAAGGAACACTTCATGCATCGTGAGATGTCAAAACATTTTTTTATTTATTAGTTTGCCAAGCTCAAACCTTGAATAGAATTCGCTATTGTGGCTTGGTGCTCAGCAACTATCTTCTGGCGTGCTTTCCAGTCATGTTGCTGGAAAAAGTGGCCAGGAAAGGTCACTAGAACTTCAAGAGAATCTATGCTACCTTGTCGCCTCCGCTTGAATAAAGGGTACTTGGTGATAGATAGAAGAATGGCGCGCATGAAATTGTGATGTAACTATCTGATCAGTAAATCTGCCACTCATGAGGCAGCAAGTTCAAGCAGGCTGACGAAGTCGATGAAAGTGATGCTGGGGTATGACAGTCCATCCCTATAGATACCTGTAAATAAGGCAGTTGCTGAGTGTGGCTTAAGGATTCAAGCTTCAAAATTCACCCTTCACACATGATGTTATCTTGAACAGCTCCCATCAGAGAATTAGCAATCAGAGCAAATGTGATGGCTGTTCGCTCGATATACAGAGCAATAGGGTGTAGTAAGCTATGGCTAAATAGTTTACTGTTAAGACCAGAGCTGTCACATTTCAAAGCAATGAAAAGAAAACCAAAAAGCAACAACCAACAGACATGGCACTTAGTAACGGCATAAAGACTATACCCTTGATGCTTGCGCGATGAAGGTAAGTTGTAGCACAACGCTTTGCATTGGCGACTGAGACAACAAAAAAATTAACAAAAATAAAGTGAGCTTCAGAAGTTCCACGGTACAGTCCCTAAATTTATAGAGGACGTCATGCGACAGCATCAGCTTAGTTGGTGATGCGTCGCACACGAGGAACAGTCGGCTTTATGTGGCAGCAAATGCTACGCTTAGACGGAGATTTGGCAATGCATGTGCGTATCATTTATACACACACACACATTGGAGAAAGTCGCTCTTCTCTGCAGCCTTTTTGTTCTGCATCATCGTTTGGGAAAGCTCCATGCAACAATGCTGTAGTCTGTTTCATGCTGTGCTGGCAGCAGTGGCCCTCATCAATCGGTGGTTGGCACATAGTTAAACGCTGTTCACAGCAGGTTCACACCAAAAACCTGATAAATGTTCCAGTAGGTAATGCAGCTTTCTTTGATGTGACTGTGCGAATTCGATCATTTGGGAGAAATTTTTTTTTGGAGGGGGGGGGAGGCAGGGGGGAGACTGCTTGATTTTTCGGACGATTTCATGGTCTGGAGGGGTGAATACTTTGAATAGTCAAATTCCAGTGTGAATTGAATCGAATAGCAAACACTATTTGAAGAATATTTGAAAGTTTGAATGTTTGCACATTGTTAGTGCCATGGAAAATCTTTTTGGTTCAGTTCAACTTAACTGGAGTCAACAAAATTGCAGTGTCAGTACATGTGTTGTTGTTTTTAAAGGGTCAACTTCAAAAAATTGTATTGACAATTTTAATGAAAAAGTATGCTGGTTACTTTTACATAACAATGCAGGAGAATGAAGGGAAATATAACAGTAGATCAATAAAAAGCTGTGTCATACAAAGTTTAGGTTGAATTGTAGTGGTTCAGAGACGGCTAATATGAAGCAGGGAGAAAGTACAGCGAAGCGCCTGGCACCCTGGGTACCAGCTTGTGGCACAGCCGGGGTTACAGTCACATGAAATAGATCGTGCTTCTTCTAAAAATTTATTCAGTGCAAGAAGTAATTTCTTTACCACAGTGTTGATAAAGATGTTGCTAAAGCAAGAAATGCCATTCGATTTAGATGGACAATCAGCTGCCTGATGCGGTCTTCCCCATTGTTCTGCATCGGTCCTTGGCCCCTATGACCAGGCAGCCTATGCTGGAAGCGGCCTTGCTGCTGCATCACACCCACTGGCTGAACTCGGTCAAGTATGTCGCTGAATGCATTGCCTGGTGCCACAACAGTTGATCACCACCTTCTCTTCCTCCGCAGGTATCTCAAAGTCTTGCTGCAGGAACTGCACCTCAGTGTGGACAAGGGCTTCCTCCTTTCTGTCTATGATGCTTTCAGTGCAGTGCTGCCCAGCCTAGATGAGGTACTACTCGGGTGGCTTCACTCAAGTGCAGAGCTTTTAATGCCATCCTCTGTGCAGAAAATGAAGCTCAAGTCCGATATGAAGATGAATTATGCTCCTCTGCATTGTTTCAAGCCAGATATCGTAAGTGAATGGTTCATAATATGTCTGTACAGTTAAACCCTTTTATAAGAGGAATGCTCCGGGCAGCAATTCTTGTCTTTTATATGAGATGTCTCTTATAAGCAGGGGACCTCATATGCATTTTCATATTCCCCATATTTTACTGTTGGCACTCTGGTGTTGTCTCTTATAGCAGTGTCTCTTATGAAGAGGTTCGACTGCAATTGGTTTTTCTTTCTAATAAGCTGGGCTAGTGCAAGTGCACCATGGGTACCAAAGTGCAACATTTTTAATTTTTGCACCGAGTTGTGCAAAAACTGTAAAAACACCTCAAGTAGTGCTAGAACTGCTCCAAACATTATGTGGCTTCCAGGGTTAGTACTCTGGTTAGATTCAAACAGAAGCAACTTACTGAGAGTTCCCACTATTGTCAAGTGTCATGCAATTACAACCTGAATTTTTGTGATAATGTTTGTTTGCCATTGTGCTCTTTCAGAATCTTGTGAGCAGTCTATTTCAAGATCTATCTCATGAAAAGGCATTGCATGTGCACATTCATAACCAGACTTTGGGGGCCTGGTTATGCCAAATTGACCGACTACTTAATTTTCTTGAATTGCTTTTCCTGTGCCTTCTGGTTAACTGGTACAGATTTTTTGTGTTATTTATTTGCAATACTGAGGGAATGTCTAAACTAGGCTTGTTTTACTTTATTAGACAGAATAATAATGACATAGTACAGGGCATATTAGAGGGGATGTTAGTAGAAGTAATTGTAATGTGAACACGCAGAAGTAAAAGTGGATGAACACACAACTTGTTATGGCAGGGATTGAACCTGCGACCTCTGAATAACGTGTCTGAAGCTCTACCACTGAGCTATCGTGGCAATCATTCTCTTGTCCACTTCATAGGGTACATATGTGCATTAAACAAAGGGGTTTCAGCGAATGCCACCTGTTGCCATTACGGGGAGAGCAGAACACTCTATTTTTTTTTGGTTGCTTGACGTAACCTGACATGATGTTATTGCAAAATGGCAGCTGCCATACACCCTATAAAGTTCATGGGGGGAATGACCGCCACCGTGCCTCAGTGGTAGAGCATCAAACGTGTTATTCGGAGGTTGCAGGATTGGTCCCTGCCTGTGACAAATAGTCTTTTTGTCCACTAGCCATAGCAGCGCTCATGTCATACCATAGAAGCGCTCATGTCATATTGTTACAAAGGTTGTGATGTTAATGAAGACAGCAGCTGGTATGTCTAAGATGAATTGTTTATTTAGCCGAACTTGAGGCCGGTACACAGAAAGCCAAATTACAGCAATACACTCTGGCACTGATAGCACAAGTGCGGTCCTTGAAAAAGGTTGTTTTGGTTATAGTGTGGATATTAGCGACTTACGTAATAAGTGGTCTATACTGCATTGTAATGAAATACCAACTAGCCTGCATAGAAACCCTTGTTCACTGCTGTGTGAATCGGTGAGCTTATTTGGGGTTGTAAAAGATACATTCAAGCATATTTACTCGCCTTTTGATACATTCTTTCTTTCTTTTTTTTTTTTGCACCTATGGCCTGCTTAGTAGTGCCTGACCAAAAAAGTACAAGAAATAAAAGAAAGCATGAATTAAAGTAGGGCAATTAAAGAAAGTGAACGATGAAATATATTTTTTATTATCTGGATAGACACAAGTTATCAGTAGTTCCTGGAAATTTGTTCGATTGACACAACCGTGATATGTGATGTAGACTGTGGGGAGTAGCAGTGTGTGTATGTATAATAGTGTATCGATAAAGAAAAAAAAGAGAGAAATTAGGCTTGCTAAAACGATGTTTCAGTGAGTTTTGAGTGTTAGGGCCTTTGATCTGGCATTTCCTGTCTACTTGCAAAAATGCTCGCCACTGTTTCACAAACTAATTGACTACTTCTCTGTGGTTGAAATGTTGAGCGTCCATCTCGAGCGGGTTGAGTTTTGAGTACATAAAAAGCATGCACGAAAAGTTTATAACTATTAATAAATAGATTTACACAGCCTTACGGTTGCATCGTAGTTTGTTAGCATTTTCCAGTAGTTATCAAAACTCTTGTAAACAAATATATATAGTAAATAGAGGTCATCGGTTGATTGTGAGATCTATGTACTAATAATTACAGCTAAGGCTAGCCTAATGACCTATAATAGTAAATGAAAAAGTAAGGCCAAAATTATTTCTAGTTCTGGAGAACGATGAAGGACAAAATCACTTGAAACTTTGTACAAAAGAATATACCTATTGCACCTCGGCCATCTCCAAACAAAAGAACGTCTGTGTACTTAATGTCATCTTTTTAAATTATCCTACAATCCCTATTACAAGTACAGTAGCGAAATGCCCACAACAACACGATCTTTTTTTCTGAATTGGTCAAGGAGCCACCACTCGTCCTAAAGACAAGAGGCTTACCGGCACCTTTTGTTGGTGCTGGCTAGTGGTGATGTGGTGATGATTATTTATGCCTTTGCACTTTGTAATTGGTGGGCTTTAAGCAGCCACCTGTGCTATTCGCATGCTTGCACTTTTGTCACATAGTATTACATGTATTAGAGACCCTGGAAGGGTTTTGATGATTTCGTATAAACACAGTGAGCCAGTAAAGCAAGTCTTAAAGATTATTTGAAGACTGAATTAAGCTCTGTGCTTCAACAGTGTAATATATTAGAAGACTTTAAACTGGTTAATTGCAGATTGCAGAAACTCAGCCAAAGGAGTTTTCAACTTCTCGTGCCTCATAGACGTAGGAATGTTCCAGTACACATTAGCACCCCCGACCAATCTTGTTGAATATCTCAGCCTACATCACGAAACCTCCCATGGACAGCAAAGCTCGTCTGCTTCTCTTACAACGTGCTTCATGTTGATGTGTGCTGAGTGACAGTATTTATCTCAAGGTCTTGGACACAATTAATTACCCCTAGCTGTGTGTTCTACTGCATATCTAGCAATTTGTGGCTTTCAAAGCTTCAACATCGAGTAATGTTTGTGAGACATATGGCCACTGAAATCGCTTCAGCTCGTCACTGTAATGAGCATGGCACTCTCACTGTCTGGTAAGTGCTACAATCCATGTGTCTACGGCTGTAACTTCACCCCTGAAGACCCAACTGCATTGCTCGAGCTGACACTTATCAGTGATTGTTCTCAAATACTTTTTGTTTGTTTGTATTGTCACCATACATGAGAATAGTATAAGATTGGCTGGTAGTGTGATGGCACCTGTCGTAGCAATGATCAACCACTCAGCTATCTTTATCTCTGTTGCCAAAAGTCATGTGTGTTTTCAGGAGCACTGAGTTATGCCCTTCTAGATTGCGCGCAACCTGTAGACACTCAATCTCAGAGGCCTTAACTGAGCGAAGGTCAATTCACCGAGTGCGCTCATGACAGCACTGTGATCGCCAGGATGCCAGCAAGTCTCAGGAGCTTCCAAGGTAGATGTGAGAAAAAGGGTATAAAGCTAATTGTTCATAGCGGCCTTGGTACACGGCGTGGGGCTAAATTTGTGGTATGATTGATTTGATGCTATGGCCTAAACATTGACGGAGCTTAAAAAAAACCATTTCATGGTCCCTTTGAGTAGTCTTCTCACACCGCATGACACTCATATGGGGGTTTTTAATTAAGCTGTTTCAAGCAGCCGCATGACGTTTTGGAAAAACTCCTGTTTGTCATGCAGAAGCTCTGAGTTTGATTTCTATTCACAATAATGATTTTTGTTATTTTCATATTTGCATCTATCTCAAACTTTTGCTTGCAGATAGTCTTCGCTCATAACCAACAACGCAAACATGGAAATATATACGAAACAAGGTCATAAACACTTTTTCATTATTAAGAAATTTTGGGATGCTGTATGCAGGGCTATATTTGAAGGGCCAGTAAACAGGCTTTGACATTTTTTTACATTCCCCAAACAAGCTCGTCAATTTGTATAGTAGACTGCGGTGATCACATATGCCGAATATTACAGGGCTGCATGCCGCACAGACCCTCCATTTCCAAAACCAATCTCGTGCTCCTTTCCCTCACCTGACCAATCCCCCACGTTTGCGCAGTCTGATGATGCTTACCCATGGGCAGTCTTACGCACCACTAAGCTCGTCAATTGGTTCTTTGCCTTATGAAACCGTGCCTTGGCCCTGCGGCAGTGCAGTTTCAGCTGCGCATTCTGCATGGACAGTTTCATCTGCTGCCCTCTGCCGCTTTGTAGAGCCAGAGAATCCGGGAGAAGTGGTATTGCCAGAATGAAAACCTCTGAGATAAAGAAGCGTCTCACTGCTATACTATAACTCTACTGTGAAGAGAAAAGTGCTTTCCCTTTGTGTTTCCTGCCCGCGCCGTTATGACACGTGTAAAAGCTGGTCCTACATTTCATGACTTGAGAAAGACTAGAGATGGAAGTGCAAAACAAACACTCTTTATACAAAGGACAGATGAAGCAAATACACAAAATTCACGTTATAGCACTCAAAATTCACCAACACTATACGTACACTCCAGTCTACAATGGACTAAAAACAGAACTAAGGACAATCTTCGTTAGAGCCAGCTCTAGCCAGTAGCTATTCAAGTAGCGTTTCAATACCAAAATGTTCTTACAGTTTCCGGTGTTGCCACGTCGACTTGGTGCTCTCACCGTGTCGACGATTTGTCGATTCAGTCGTCTGCCTATTTCCCATGCATTCCTACGGTCATGGTCAGCCGTTCGACTTTATTGCCGGTTGGTTCCGGTCTTCGTTCTCTTCTCCGGCTCAGTTAGGCTACGCCTGACTCGTCAAGGATGTCGTGACTGTGGTGCGGGCCACATTCATTCTGGCTTGAAGTGGAAGAGCTGTAGTCTACCCAGGAACTGCGGTTAAAAGTTGTGGCAAGTCCGGGCAGCCTCGCTCGAGTCTTCCGAGATCGACGGCCATTTTCTGGGCCTTTCCGCCGACAGCCTCAGAACCGGGCGGCACTACTGCTTCCGTCGCAGTATCCACACTGACCTTCCTGATCTTCGCAGCTCGAAGCTTTAATGCACAGTGACAGCACATTCATCGACATTTTTCATTACAACTCGGGTATCGTGCCCAAGCCTTCTTGTCTAATCTCATACATGAACATGGCGTGTGTGCACATCATTAAGGGTCTCGCGTACTGTCGCCGCATTGAAACGCCTGGCACGGGCCTTGTGCCCTCTTACTCATGACATTGGCCCCCCCCCACTTTTAAGAGTACAGTCTAACACAGATATATCGAACCCACATATATTTAATTTTCGGGTATATCGAACTCGTAAGGTATTCCCTTGAAATTCCTCTGTAAAAGTGTAGAAATTCTCATGTTTATACCGAACAGTATTTTTACCCGCCTTCGGATATATCGAACGCCCTGCAAGCTGGAAGGTGTGCTTCAGCACTCCCCGCGATTTTCGCAGCAGCGCGGCTCGGCGCGCAAGTTCTGAGGTGCACTTTGGCACTCGTAGTACCCGGCGACCTCCGCGCGGCACCACGCCTCCGCCAAAACCCGAAATGATTAACAAAAAAAGGTAAGGGCGAGAGGGCTTGGACTGCACAATCTCTAACTTTCGGAAATTTTTTATCAGTTTTGTCTTTGCTTTTTCAAGTCTAAGTGAATATGAGCTTTTACTATTCTTTGGTCACTGCATCGGATCTTGCCAACTACTTCCACATCCTATACAATGCCTGGGTGTCCACACAGAATGAAGTCTATTTCATTCTAGTTTCATCATTAGGACTTTGCCACGTCCACTTATGGTTAGGCCATCATTTTTTGAAGAATGTATTCAAGATCCGTAAATTATTACGTCACGTGAACTCTACTTATAACTCCCCTCTGGCATTTCTAGAGCCGATGCCATATTTCCCCACTGCATGGTCTCCGACTTGTTTCTTGCCTACTTTGGCATTAAAGTCACCCATCAGAATAGTATACTGTGACTTTACTTTATTAATAGCAGACTCTACATCTTCGATTGATATGTGAGGTTTAACGTCCCAAAACCACCAAAGACTCTACGTCTTCATAGAAGCTTTCAACCAAATGATTATCATGACTCGAATTTGGATACTTGCCACCCTCTCACGAATGCTATAATATTCCTTTATGTTGCCAGCAATATTCTTGGGTATAGAAACTTTATCCCTAGTTCTTTTCTGTCGATTAATCCATGGTAGCATAGGACGTGTCCGTTCTTCAGCACTGTATAAGCCTCACGTGTCCTCCTTACATCACAGACGCTTATTATACCTTATTGAACACCCTCTAATTTATCGAATAGGACAGCTAGATTAACCTCACTAGATAGCATTCTAGCATTGAAAGTAGCCAAGTTCAGATACCAATGAGATAAAAGTTGATGGAGAGTATCTTAGTTACCTGTGATTCGCTGAAGACTTTGCCTTGATGAGTAACACGGGGGCGAATTATAGCTCATGATTACAGAACTGAACCAGGAAAGCAGAAAAGTAGGTCTGAAAATTATTATTCACAAAACTAAACTAATGTGCAACAGTCTCCAGAAAACAGCACTTTGCGATAGGTTAAAAAACGCTGGAAGTTGTGAAGGAATATATCTACTTAAGATAGGTAGTAATCGCGGAGCTGAACTATGAGAGTAAAATAACTAGAAAATTAAGGGTAGGGTAGATCACATTCGGCAAGCATTCTTAGATCATGAATTATTATCTGCTACTGACCCTCAAGAAGAGGGTATATAACAACTGCATCTTGCCAGTACTTACCTACAGAGCAGAAACCTGGAGGCTTACACAGAGGGTTCAGCTTAAACTGAGGACGACCCAGTGATCAATGGGAAAGAAAATGATAGGTGTAACCTCAAAAGACAATAAGAGGGCAGAGTGGTTCTGGGAACAAACCGGGGTTAAGGATATCATAATTGAAATCAAGAAGAAGAAATGGACATGGGCCGGGCACGTAGCACACAGGCAGTATAACAGCTGGTCATTAAGAGTAACTGACTGGGTTTCCAGAGAAGGCAAATGCATGAAGAGGGGACAGAAAGTTAGGTGGGCCGATGAGATAAAAGTTTGCAGGTATAAAGTGGCAACGAAAAGCACAAGACCGGGTTGATTGGCTGATCATGGGAAAGGCCTTTGCCCTGCAGTGAGCATAGTCAGGCTGATGATGACGACGGTGACTGACTCAATCAATCAATCAAATGGGCTCTCGCTCAAGGACTTATTTTATTACAACAAACCATGGTAGGTTCCCTGGTGCCGTCTATTACAGCACACTACACCGTTCCAAGCCACACTGGCTGCCAAATACTTTGGCTGTAATGAGAAACTTGAGCTTTAGGCTCATGCACAGTTGTAGGGGTTGCACCTTAGAAAAGGGCAAGCATCATTGGGAGGCTCGGCTCTGACCTGGCTACTGAAAGGCTTGCCAGAGGCCACTTCATGTCAGCTATGAATTGCTAGGCGCTGATCTCAAAAATGTTGGCATGAGGTTAATGCAGTGGTGCTGCTGTTGTTTTTTATCAGATCTGAACACAAATGTTGTACAGGGCTTCAGACAGCTGTCAAACTGTTGATGTCACTGATCTGAATCTGTTTGCCAGGCCGCCGCATTCCGTAGCAGCATGCCCTCTGTTCAAGATCCTCATCTCTCACGACTTTCTAGAGCTCTCAGGTTGCCACCTGATACTAATGTCATTTGCCTTGGAGAGTTGTGCTCACCTTGTGCTCAATGATGTCCAGCATGTCCAAAAAAGCCATTAGGGTCAGCCTTTCAGCTGATTGAGAAGCTCTTTGACTGTTGTGGGGTCTCGGCGAGGCGAACGAGCACATCGCCACGCCACGCTCTTGGAGTGAACGGACACAGCAGACGCTGTCGGTACAAAGCACACAACATACATACATTTATTAACTAATTTAGACGACGATATCGTCTGCCGAATGTTACATCAATTTTAATTAACATGCTACCATACAAACAACATAACGCAGTGACACACTAAACACACAATAACATGATAAACACACACTAACACACCCAAGACACTAACACATACCCAAGGCGGTGTCGCCAACGCCTGACTTTCCACGTGGGACCCCGGCGTGAAGCCCGCGGTGCCGAGCACCGGAGACCCATGCTACAGACAACCGTTCGCGGCAGCCACCACGCGCAGAAGAGGCTCGCTCAACTCTCGCCCACCACCAAGGCCTGCCTTCCGCCAGGGGCCACCGCCAGCACTACCACTCTACCAACAGTGGTACTCAAAGCGAACACAACGCCATCTATCGCCAGGCAGTGGTCACCACCGAAACAAAGCCTTGGGGCGAGACACGTGCGTCACGCGGTGCAGACAACTTTACAGGGGGGGGGGGTGTCAGCATTCCCACACTGTTCAGACAACTTATTCTGCCTTACCCGTGTACACAGACTTAGAAGGTAAACAGCTCTTGGATTTTCTGTCATACAAGCCTGAAGACCTTGTTTTAGTTTAATGCATAAATTGTTTTTTAGGTTACGCTACGATTTGAAAACCTTGTCATTTGTATCCATTGATGTGCTGACTGGGAGACTTGACCAAATATCAGTAACAGTGTCCGTACTGCGTGTTCCCTGAACATGCCTCAAATGTGAAATAATCCACCTGATGCAGCTTGTCCCACTATCCTTACCCAAACACATTGAGGATGGTGGACAGTTATGTAAAGTATGTTTGGCTGGCACTATGAAAACATATTCTTGCCCATTCTATTTAATAATGCATTTTGTTGCAAAATAATGCTCTCGTGGGCTATTATTTGTAGGTGTGTGAATATCTGAATTATAATATTTTTAATAGTGTATTATATTTGATTAAATTTTTACTGGAATTTTATTTTGCTATTCGAACTGCCCGAAGACAAATACAGTCAATGTTCAATTAAAATAAATCCTTCGGACTTTATAATATGCTTCACCCCATTACATTTTTGTGTTGTGGCAAAGTTGCCTTTTAGGCTCTGCTTTGGTCGCAAATATATTAATTTTAGAGAAAACGCTGGTTATAACATGAAGATGATAGATATGGCAGAAGTGGGAGCTCAATTAATACTGTTTTAGACCTGAAATATGGGCAGGCAGTCTAAAAAATTAAATGCTATTATATTTTTAGCATCCAAAATTTCACACGTTCTGATATATTGAAGTCTGCGAGGCAGATTTGGAAATACACTCTGGAAGGGAGCACACTCTTGTCTGCAATGTCAGTGGGGGTTTCTACAGAAGCTGAAACAAGAGGAGAGGCTGAGGAAATAGCACCTTTGCCTTTCACGCATTATGTCTTGTTGGCACAACACTTTGATTGCATCAAATAATCTACATAAATACAATTCGGCCTCTGTATTGCCACTTTCTTGATAAGACAACTATATAGCGCCACCCTGCCAGTGCTTCATCAATATCATCAATCAATTCATCAATCTCTTCATCAAGATAGCAACACTTTTATGTTGATGTCTCATATGAGACTATGCTTAGGAATCCTCTCGGACTTTTTTCTATAAGTTTTCATCGAAGTATTTGAAACATGTTGTGTAAATATTTGAGAAATAAAGAAAATGTTTGATTAGATTTACATTTATTCTTCTGTATTCAAATTTGCTTTTCACCCAAAAGTTTATTATTCGTACATCTTTAATTAACTTTAAAATTTCTGTAGACACTGATGGCTCACTTCATTCTTTCGCAACAGGACACCTCAAATGCCCAGCGAACTATGTTTGAATTTATTCACCTGTCACCTGTGAAGGTAAGTCGTCACCTGGTGAGAGGGCGGAGGTTGTGTGGGAACTCTGCTTTCAGGTACACCTAAGCTTCAGCCCAAGAGGCACTGTACAGAAGGCCAACAAAGACGGCCTTGATGTTCTGGATGGCTTCCTCAACTTGGTTGGTGCTACGATCAGTGAATTCAAGGATGTAGAGCTCAGGTGAGTTGGTTACTAACACCCACCTTTTTCTAACATCAAACTTCATTCTTAATCTTTTAGACATTTTTCAAACATGGTAAATTTCAATCTTCATTAGTGAATTTCATTATGCACAAAATGCAATGGTCAGTCAGTGTTTACACTTATTACAAAGCAATATATGTGATAGCAAGACATGAGAATATCACATGAACAACAAGCAGGTTGATACTTCCAGCATGCCGCTGCAGCTCAAAGATGGATGCTCGAAATGACAAGCGTGAACTAACAACTGTCATAGTTATTTTGTGTTTGTATTTGAGGAACGTACTGAAAATGTCCACAATGCTATCTGATTTTTCGTTTTCTTTTAAACTGCGGCACATGGAATGACCACTCTGTCTCCTTCCCCGCGGTGGCATCTGACGCTTAGTGTGTGCTGTGTGTGTGTGTGTATTTTTTTTACTTTTTTTCTACATCGTGAGTGGTACATAAAAGGGGCACATTTTCTTGCACGTCTCTAGGGCAGTTTTTTATTTCAAAGAAAAATTTTAAAATAATGGCTATAGAAAATATGCTCAAGCTATTCTGATATCTGTGTATTGCTAGCTGTAAATGGTGCATACAAATAGCTCGCCATTATATCGCCGGCACAAGCATGGCGTATGGCTGTCTTGGCTAGGGCAGCAGGCTGCCGAGTGAGGGGTTGTTGGTTTGAATCCCAGGTATGTTGCTTTGAATTTTTTCGACTGATTTTTTTATGCCTTTTTTACTTGCATAGGTACATGTACATATGTGAGACGTGATGGCAATGGCAAAAATTAGCGGAGAGTTTTTATAGTGATTAATTTGTGGGGAGAATGTCTATATAATTACTATTTCAGTAAAACAAAAACATGTACCTATAAACCTTGATATAATACCAAACTTAAATATATTTAAATTCACATTATTACAAAGTATTTCATACTTTAGAGCTTCATGTTTATAGAGGGTTGTCCATGTGTAACAAAGTGTTTATTCACAATTTGAATGAAACATACGTTTATGTGCTGCGTAAAGTGAGCCCAAAGTAGAATATTGAATCCTCGATGGGTGCCTTTGGTCAGAACTAGGGGTTCTTGTTAATGCATTTTTCAAATCATGAGCAGCAACAGCTGAAGTTGTCAAGCATGTCTTCCAGTTGTAGATTTAGGAAACCTGCTTTCATGGGAGGCATAAAGCATGCTTGCAAGTTACCTAGCGCATCATGTGGCATGCATGTGGCAATAGCATTGCCACATGCATGTCATTGACGATTTGTCATATGATACGGGCAATTGCTCTTGCTTGTTTTTTTTATATGCACTCGAGTTAGTTGCCTTTAAATAATGACTTGCACCTCTTATAGAGTTCCACAAAAGCTAGGGGTGGTTAAAAATAATCTGCAGGTAGTGAACGAAGATCACTGGTCTCTTGCTCCACAGGCATACTTGCGGTGAAGCTGCTGTTGTGTCGGGCATTTCATGACCTCCGATCAGTTTCGGTTTCAACGGGATGTGTCGCATGGTGCCACGCAATGGTGATATTGGGAACTATTGTTACGCGCCAATGAATGCTTTCTGAATAAACAGTCCCCCTCCCGTTTCTCGGCCTTGCATGACGTTTTCATTGCGCTCTGGCGCTAACATGCCTATTGTCTCTGTTGGACGATGCCCCCGCTGCGATACAACAAACTGGCGATGAGATGAATAAGAATTATGTAAGCACTTTACATACTTCGTTGGCATCCTCCGCCGATTTTTTTTTATGCGAATTTACACTTTTTCGGGTGCATTTACAGGGCACCGCTCTACTTGCATGCTCCTCGAAATTTGTTGGACCTAGTGCTGGCACTCCTGCACGTATGGCCACACCTTGCTGGTACCAGTGACTCGCCGACGCATACTAGCGACTCCAGCTCCTCAGTGCCTCAATGTTCCACCATGACTTCCGCGATTGCTCCTCCGCTTTTCCTGCAGACACCGGGCACTCCAACTGTACCTTGGGCTAAATGGCACTGTGTTCTTCAGGCATACATCGACGTCATTGCTGGAGACACCACCCGGCCTTCTCCCTAGAAGAGTCTGCTACCTAACGCACTCGGAGTTGAGGGCATTGCCCCTCCGCGGTGGTCTAGTGGCTAAGGTACTCGGCTGCTGACCCGCAGGTCGCGGGTTCGTATCTCGGCTGCAGCGGCTGCATTTCCAATAGAGGCAGAAATGTAGGCCCGTGTGCTCAGATTTGGGTGCACGTTAAAGAACCCCAGGTGGTCGAAATTTCCGCAGCCCTCTACTACGGTGTCTCTCATAATCATATTATGGTTTTGGGACGTTAAACCCCACATATCAGTCAATGAGTTGAGGGCATTGGTGTCTACTCTACTGGACACTACGAAATGCACAAGACCAGGTGGAAAGCGTCGACAAGACTCGGGACGAAGGCACGCAGGATGAATACATCCCAGTACTCACACTACTAGAGAACCATTTCAACGCTCCAAGCAGTGAAGTCCTAGAGTGTCAGTACTTCAAAATGTGCAAGCGAATACCAGGGGAATCGGTTACTCACTACGTTTCTGCCTTACAGGCAATGGCGAGCAAATGCAACTTTGGTGCCTCCACCAATTCTCTGGTCTGCGACCAGCTGTTCAGCGGAATAACTGCACAAAATGTGTGAAGAAGACTCTTGCAACTGGTTCCTTCCCTTACTTTACAGCAAGCAATTCAAATTGCGAAGGAAGAGGAACGTATTAAACTCAAAATGCACAATTCGCGAAGATACAGGTTCAGAAGATCGAATTACAAAATGGTTGCCAAAAACAAAAGCATGTCCGAGGGCCTCCCCGACAGAACTCAGCAGGAAGCCAACATGGTCGCGGCCATCACGACTCCCGTCCTACTACATCCAATTTTTCAAGCCACCAGAATGGAACACACGATCTGAATTGAGTGTCTGCTACAGATACGGATCTCATCAACATTACGCGATTTTTTCTAATTGTCCAGTCCACAACCGCACTTGTTTTGCCTGCCAGAAGTGAGGTCACTACCGAGCTGTATGCCGCTCATCAAATGTCAGCACGTCTCAACAGAACATAGCTGGAGTACAAGATACTGCTGTAAAAAACACAGTTAAACATCGATGAACACTCCAGCCATCTTTCACCGCTAAAGATTGCTGTTCAAGTTAGTAAAGTCAACATTCTTTTTCTCGTGGACAGCACTGCGACCGTATCATTGCTTAACCTACAAGATTTCAAGATGTACTATTCAGGGATCAGACTACTTGGCTCATATGTTGTTCTTCAGGACTATTTGAAGAAATGCATTCCCAATCTCAGATACTTCTCTACAAATGTTCGGTACATTGAAACAACTGCTGCTGTCTCATTTTATGTGACGAAAAAAGGTTCTTCACTTTTTGGGTTGGATGCCATTCGAAGCCTCCACATAACTATCGACGGTGCAACATTGTCCTGTTCACAAGAGAGAGAGAACACAACTTTATTGTCGTCAGACTTAAGGAGGTAGGTGACCCGCCAGGCTGAACCTGATGGCCACCTCCTCTGCCCTTTGTACGGCCTGGAGCTGAACGGCCAGGCTGGTGGAGGTCAGAACTGCCTCCCACCCCTCTGGCGAGGGAGCGGCTAGGAGATCGAGAGAGGGGGGATCTTCCCTGCAGGCCCAGAGAATGTGATTAAGTGTGGCTATTGAGCCACAATGCGAGCAATGCGGATCAATCGAGTCGGGGTATATACGTGCATAAATGTATGGGCACGGAAATGAATGTGTTTGCAAGCGGCGCCAGATAACCTCCTGGCGCTTAGTTAGCTTATGGTGCGGGGGTGGTTTTGTCTGCCTCGAAAGACGGTAATATTGTGTGATGTCATGGTAGGATGTCAAGGCTTCACCAGGGTTTTCCAAATCAGAGGCGGGTACCACCGCTCGGCTGACGAATCCTCGAGCATATAGGTGGGCCGCCTCGTTCCCTGGGTTCCCCGCGTGAGCCGGCACCCATACCAGCGCAATGGAGGATAGTGCGTCTTCCTCAGCATCTGTAAGGAGACTGGGCAATAGTAAACGCAGAGTTGTGGGGGCCACAATGCCACGTGCGAAGTTGGATATAGCAGCCTTTGAGTCACTGAGTATAGTGGTGAATCCGGATGCTGCTGCTAGCGCTTGTCCTGTTCACAAGTTTTAAGTTCAGAAATCCCAAGAATTCCTGCCAATGCTCCTTCTGAATTTCATCACCTCTTCATCCAGGAACTCGGACTGGTGAAAGGCTACACGCACGAAACGAAAGGCAGTCCAAGTGTGCAGCAAGTCGCTACCAAACTTTGCATAATGCCATTCTTGCTTCGACAACAAGTCTATGATGAACTTTCTCGTCTTGAAAAAGCAGGTGCCATAAAACAAGCTAAGAATCAGGTTAGGTCTCTCTACTGGTCGTGGTGAAAAAAAAAAATGGTTCCTTAAGACTTTGTGTGGACTCACATGAAACAAACAAAGCTATCGTGGTTGATGGGTTTCCTCTACCTCACATCGAAGAACTTCTCGTGCAATTTGCAGGTGCTGTTTATAATTCAAATCTAGGTCTTGCATCAGCGTGCCATCAAGTTAACTTGTCAGAATCAAGTAGAGACTTAACTACTTTTGTCACACATGATGATTTAGTCAGTAAACAATTGTATTGGGCCAGTTGGTATGGATCCGTCTTGGTAGGAAGCGCAGCCACTATTACACAGAACACACAACACAAGCGCTCAACTTCCACGAAACGTTTATTGCAACTGTCAGAGTTTATAAAAGGGCGATCCGCTGTAAGGAGTGCCATTTGGCGAACCACTGTAAGAAGTGTGGTTGTGTGCCTCATTTCGATAACACGTGCGTGTTATATTGGGACAGAGATTTATTAACTCGTTTGAAAGTAGAAGCTGCGGAAATGACACGTGATGATTTTGAGTGTGTTAGTGCACCCTCTATTTCACTCACGCGGAAAGA